AACATGTATCTGTATCAACCTTGAGAGAATTTTTGTCACCATCAGACCCTCAAAGTACTAATAACTTCACTCAGTCACATTATACTCCAGATGAATTCAATACGTTTGTAACACACAAATTACTTGATAAGGATATCAACAAATTATCATTTATTAATATTAATTGTAGAAGTCTCCAACATAATTTTGATGCATTGTCTGTACTTATGATGTCATTGCGTATGCAAGTTTCAATTATTGGTGTTTCAGAAACATGGCTAAGGGATGAAAATTCGCAATATTCTCCGTGCAACTTTAATAATTATGTATTTGTGGGAAATAATAGAAGACTTGGACGTGGAGGAGGTGTCGGTATTTTTATTTGCAAGGACGTTAATTTTAAACGCCGCACTGACTTGGAAATTAATGAATAATTTTTAGAAAGTATTTTGATTGAAATTGAATGTTTCAATTCAAGTATTTTAATATGTGTTATGTATAGGCCACCCAGTCAACCAGTGGATGATTTGTTAATGTTTCTCTTTAATGTTTTCGATGTTGTAAATGTGGAAAAGACATTATTTTATTTAATGGGTGATTTTAATATTGATTTATTATATGTTGGGAAGGTTCAATCTGTTAATGATTTTTTAAACATTTTAATGCTACATTCTATGATTCCTTTAATAAATGAACCAACTCGTGTTACTGACAGATCTTCATCGTTATTAGATAATATTTTTACAAATGATTCTTGCTATATTTATTCTGGAATATTATTTACTGACATTTCTGACCACTTCCCGTATACTGTATCTGTGATACTGATATTCCCAAAAGTTCCTGTGAAACTGACTTTTATAAACGTGATTTATATGAAAATAATATTATAATGTTTTTGCGATTGCTGTATTCAACTGAATGGTATCTATCTAGTGATGTGAATAGTAGTTATAATACCTTCGTTTTTAAATTCACGAAACTGTATAATTTGTGTTTCCCTGTGAAATTAGTTCGTATAAAATATAAGCGTAAAAATAAACCTTGGATTACAAATGAAATTATAAAGTTGAGTAAGATAAAATGTAGACTATATAAGTTGTTAATCAAAAATCCTAATGTTTATAGAAAAGAAGTATATAGGAAAATTCGTATAAAATTGAATAATAAGATTAAGATTTAAAAAAAAGGAATTATTTTAAGAAAAGTCTTAAAGATTCTCAAGGAAATATGAAGAAAACGTGGGATATTATCAATAAAACAATGGGGAAAAAATGTAAGATGACTAACATTAAAGAGATTAATAAAAATGATACAGTGATAACTGATAAGAATGATATTTCTAATAATTTCAATGAATATTTTGTAGATGTGGGGTATAATTTGAATTGTAAATTTGATTGTTTTGATGATTCAGAGTGTATCAAGTATATTGATTTGAATGACAAGTCTATGTTCTTTAAACTTGTAACAAGTTCAGAAATTGAAGATATTGTTAAAAAACTAACAAATAATACAGGTGTTGGATATGATGATGTTGATGTTAAAATTGTGAAAAGATGTATTTCTTAAGCAATCATTTATGTACAATATTTAATCAATGTCTTGAACAAGGAGTATTTCCAGATAAAATGAAAATAGCAAAAGTAATACCTGTTTTAAAAAATGGAGTGTCTGAAACAATGTCTAATTATCGCCCTATATCCGTTTTAACTGTTTTTTCAAAAAAATTAGAAAAAAGTATGTATAATAGACTATATGCTTTTTTAACTAAGTGCAATATTATTAATAATAATCAGTATGGTTTTAGAGCTGGAAATTCTACTTCATGTGCAATAATTGATTTTATTCATAAGGTAGCCTCTGCAAAAGATAATAATGAAGTAAGGCTTTTGACACGTTAGACCATCATATACTCTTGGTGAAATTATATCAATATGGAATAAGGGGAATCGGTTTAGATCTTTTTAAAAGTTATTTGTTACATCGTCATCAATTTGTTTCTATTGCTAATGTTAAATAAAATTACCAAGAAATCAAATGTGGAGTACCTCCGGGATCCATATTATGCCCCTTACTGTTTATTTAATATATCAATGATCTTCCTAGTGTGTCGAGAATTTTAAAACCAATTTTATTTGCCGACGATACGAGCATTCTTTTATCTCATCAAAATATAAAATCACTTCAAGATATATTTAATCGAGAAATTAAGTTAATAAACACATGGTTTTCTGTAAATAAATTGTCAATCAATATAAGTAAGGCACATTATATGATTTTTACGAATAAAAAATGTGACAATGATTCTATTATTATTCGATTGTGTAATACAGAAATTAAACAGGTCTCTTCACTTAAATTTCTTGGCATAACCATTGATAATAAGTTGAAATGGACTGATCATGTAAATGCTGTTTGTAATGTATTATCGAAAAATATTGGTGTTCTGTATAGATTAAAATCATTTCCTAAATGTATATTGAAGATGATATATAACAGTTTGATATTACCATTGTTGTATTATGGAATTCTTGCATGGGGGAAAGCAAATGAAACCCCTAATAGGAAAGTAATTTTATTGCAAAAACGTGCAATTCGTACTATTTGTCATACTTCTTATCTTGCCCATTCACATCCACTTTTAAAAGAAATGCAAATATTGAATTTTACTGATATCTATAATTATCAATGTGCAATATTTATGTTCCAGTGCTATTTACAAATCCTTTCCAAATCACTTTTAAAACTTTTTATACTAAATTGCAATATACACCACTATAGTACTAGAAATGCTGAGAATTTTCACTTGCCACTTGTACATACAACTACATATAAACGTACAGTAATATTCAATGGACCTTGCTTATGGAGTACTATACCTCGTAAAATACGTGAATTGAAATTTGTTAACACTTTTAAACGTAAATATAAAAATTACTTGATATTGATTTTAGCTGCAGATTTTAACGGTTTTTCAATTCATTATATTTTACATGTAATTGTTATTTGTTTTACTTTTTATTAAAACTTAACTGTTTATATTTGATTAATTGGTCAGCCGCGTAAAAGGACAACCTCCTTTCTGGCTGCTACCAGCATTAGCAATTTCCTTTGTATTATTCAAGTTTGTAAATTGATTTTGTGTATTTCTGTGTTTATCTATGTTAAAAATTGTAATTGTGTGAAACTTTGTATACTGCTTTTGTTTTACCCTGTATGTTTTTGTTATTGCTTGGCAAAATAAATTGAATTGAATTGACAAAATTAAATTGAATTAGGATAGATTAAGCCTAACTGAAGGTATAAGAGGGTGCTTTTAGTTTTGAACGCATTAATATATCATCATAACGCGACTTAACTCAAACATCTAATCTTAATCGCGGATAAAATTCTATACATTTTGACACCATTAAGATAAATCTGAACATGAACATTTTAAATGTCTTATGTTTAAAAGATACGTTTCACAAATGTACAATCTATACCAAAAAAAAACTCGTCCTTAAGCCCCCATCACACCAAACTAGTTCTCACTACGGTCTGGAACCGTCCTAGAAAATCGTAAAACGGGTTGTGGTCGGGGCAGAATGTGTAAAAAAAATGTCTATAATACGATCCCAGTTCGTTCGTAAACAGTCCCCAATCCGTCCATCTCGTTTGTTCCCCGTCCACAGCCAGTTCATATTAAGTTCAGATCGGGTAGATTAGGCAGTCCAAGCCAGTCCATAGTCAGTTTAAACCCATTATTAACTAGTTCTACCTCGTTCCCAATACGTCCAAACCCACTCTAACTAGTTCGCCACTTGTTCTAACTAGTTTTTAACCCGACCACCCCGTTCAGAGGCAGTTCAACTCTTCCTCATCTCGTTTCGAATGCGCTCCTGAAGCTTGTGCAATCCCGCCCTGACTCGGGAGTTATAAAAATCCAGAGCGTTCTCGCCATTGCTCATTCCTGTTCAACTTCAACGCTTTATGCTTTGCAGATCAAGACGTTCAAGTCAAGCACCTATCACGCCAAACTAGTTCTCACTACGTTCTGGAAAATGTTGCCAAACGGGCTCAAACTGTGTGTGAACGGAGTGAACCTATTAGCAACTATTTACGATTTTTTTTTTAAGGACTTCGTGGACGGGCTCGGACTGGCTTGGACGGGAAGGGTGGTCTAGAACTTTGAGCCTGTTCAAAATTCTCCCCGTCCTGCAATTGGACGGAGTGACAACGTACTTAAAACGAGATGGACGTACTACGAACGGAATTGCCGTACTTCGATCCTACTAGGAACGTGTTACCACGTGATGTGGTCGAGCATCAACGAGGAAGAACGCGCTGGGTTTGTATAGCCCTCGAACCAGGACGGGATTGCAAAGCACGATAGAAGCGCGTTCGAACGCACTAAGACCAAGATGAGGACGAGTTGAACTGTCTTTGAACGGGGTGGTTGGGTTATAAACTAGTTAGAACAAGTTCCGAACTAGTAAAAATGGTTTGGACTGCTTGGAAATATCAAATGTATCCGATCTGAACTTGATATGAACTGACTGTTGACGGGTACAGACGAGTTGGACGTATTGCGGACTGTTAATGAACGAACTAGGATCGTATTAGAGACATTAGTCCAGTCCGAGCCCGTCCATAAAGTCCTTCAACAGGTCGCAAACAGTTGATATTACGTTCAACTCCGTTCGCACACAGTTTGAGCCCGTTTGGCAACATTTTCGAGAACGTAGTGAGAACTAGTTTAGTGTGATGGTGGCTTTACCAATGAGTACATTGCGACAATGGCACGAGAGTGAGATTTATATATTTATATACACAACGTAAAGTACTACCCACATGCAGGAAGCGGGTGTGAGAACTAAAGGATGCCTATAATCACAGACGAACATTGAAGACTCAGAGTAGCGGTAACATAAATATGGAGGGATCACTCTATGCCGGATACGCTAAATATTGCACTACATATTTATGAGTACGTTGTAATGTACAAAATGTATTACAAAATAGGTGAATTGTCAAGGCTAGTTGGCCCGCGACGGTCGTTTACAGGAAAACATTTTGATGATGGTGGCACGGAACAGAGGCTGGGACATGGCGTAGGATATAGGGTTCAGAAGGCTATTCCCGAACTGCAGATAGCTGAAGAATATGAGAGCATCAATCGGCAGACCAGGTATGATGAGTCGAGGTTCGATACTGTAGATTAAAGCAATTACGCTAATCGGAATCCATGTCAGTACGAAAGCGATGACGATGAGAAGGAGAGTACGAGTCGCCTTCGTCATTTCAGCCATCGATTCCACGCGATGTGACGTTGCTGTCTGAGTTGTTAGGAGAGACAGACAGGGACCAAGTAAGAGAGAAAAAGAAAGAAATAGAAAGAAAGGAAATCATGAACGCCGTAGATTTTGATAGGAACATAATTATACTGCGAAAAATATACATGCTATAAAACCTACTCCTGCATTTAGAGTGATTTTGATCTTCCAATGGAATCTATTCAAATTTTAACAAGACACCAAACACAAACAGTTCCGTAACCTTTAACTTTCCTTTGCATATTACTTTCGTACTCACATGGGAAAGCGCGGGGAAATTATCCCTCAATGATTCATATTAAGATATCTTGTGAGAAAATTCTATCAGCAAACAGCCTATCGTTTGTTGTAATCTTTAGGCCTGCTTATCTTATCAAATATTTGTCGCAAAAAATGTCCTTGTTAATGCAGTTAAGAAAACATGATCACAGAGATAACTTTGAATTCTCTTTTACACAGAAATTATGCTCAGATTTGTATGTAACCATTTTGAGTCATATTCTCATTTTAGAATAGGTGGTGGACAAAGTTACTAAAGTCTTTGCTATCGTGTTATAAGAGGCAAATTCTGTAGATTACGTACCGATATTTCTTGGCCAATATTTCCGACCTTGGTCTCATTACGTGATGAAGATGATGATATCATGGTGTCATCTCTGCTCCCTGTCTCTGGAATGTCACTAAATGAACCTGTATGCGATGTCGATGAAACGCTTACGCTCGTCATCTCATTATCCTTGGCGGTGGAAAGGTTGAGGTCCGTTAAACCAGTTGACTTATTGTTGTTCCGTCTTCCAACCGTCTTCCGAATCTTGATAAAGATTCTGACATAGAGAACGGCGATGATGGCCAAAGGCAAGTAGAACAAGACACTATTTTGGATCATATTCGTCAACGGACTGAGGAGGAACCGCTGAGTACATTGGGATCCGTTGTCGTGATCGACGACGAACTCCCACACTGTAACGTACCCAATCCAGAACGAGAGTCCAATCACCCATGGCAGAGAATTGATGATGATAGCCTTGCGCTTTGATCGAGAGATAAAATGATTGATGGGATCATAGACCGCTTGATGTCGATCGGCACATATCACAACCACATTGATGTTAGAAGCATTGACGAGTCCGCTGAAGATCCCAGTTATGACCTTACAGGCATTTTGAGAAAACGGGTATCGGTAGATGTACCAGTGCTCTATGTCAATTCCCAGTCCAATGCCAATCAGCAGATCCAATATGGTGAGATTTATGATAAGGTAATTGTTGTAGGTACGGAGACGTTTTTCTACTAAGAATGCGCCAAGACTGATGATGTTGGCAAGTACAATGAGCGTGAAAAAGACAGCGATGAAGATGAGACTCTTCAGACTACGTGGAGTTGTTCCAGAGGGATCCAAAGAATGAGTAGTTACAGTCATGTATTCACTTGCATTCTGGATATCAGTCCTTGCATTTTGGATATCAGTCCAAAACATGTCCGTTGAGTAGGACTGCGTGCTATTAGAAATATCGGCCATGATCAATGTTGCACCTCAAACAGATTTGTCTGTGAATATTTCTCTTAACGAAAAGCAGAAGGTTATATACAGTCATATTAACATGCTATTTTCCTCAACGAATCGGAAGCGAGACGTAGAATTAAGTAAAGCTGCGGAGGGTTAAATGGTAACAGCAAGGTACAGAAATGAAATTGTCAATCACTACTTATTCAAATTTTACAATCTCTTTTCAAAGCCCGCATATCCAGTGCGAAAAGCAGTTTCTAAAAAGAGATGTTATCGACAGCGACATATTGAACGAACTCAACCTACATATTATCTTTCAGTCCTTGAAACACATTCGCGTGTTCATATGAAATTGACAGGGAGAAGTTTTATTTTGATTACCGATTCAATGTTCTTTTAGAGGTGACAATACCGTTTTCTCATCTTATTGAAATTCTGTTCGCTCAACAAAACCATCGTGGCGCATATTGCAAGAAAATCCATTGAAAAAAACATATAATAGAGAAACACTTGTAATGGCTACATCAGGGATTTGTCAAGCAAGAACGAGCGTACTCTGGACTCCAAGGGGAGGAAAGAGTGTTGTGGTCAAGGGGAAAACACTAAATTATTGTCCTAAGCGACATCTTTTCACAAAATACAATATGTTATATACCTCTCTTTAGTATGTTGAATAAATCTAGTCATCTGATTGGTCAAAATCGGAGTCGTGGTTTTAGCCATGCTCGCCTACCGGTCCATAGTTTTTTTTAAAGATTCCCGTATGCCCGCCTACAGGGCAATAGTTTTTTTTTCAAAGATGCCCGTTTCCCCAGGTAACGGGCCGCATAAATACATTTTTGCTGAGATCACCATTGGTTTACATGTAAAAAGTTTCATTGTGCGAGCGCGGATACCATATAGAACTTTTTTGTGTGAGATTCCCGAATGATCGTAACATTCAAGCAACTTTCCAGCGAAAATCTTTTCTCTGATGTTTAACCAGTCTTTACTGGAGAAATGGATAAGGTAAGAATTGTTTTTAGATTTTTTTTGTGAATTCGGTATATAAAAGATATATCGACAGCTTTAATATTCGAAACATTTCTGTTTCTATACTGGCTCTCTCGGACGTTACATCCTGATATGACCCGGCGCGCCGAGGGGTCATATCAGGATGTCACGTACCCTTGAGCTTATAGAAACAGCGATGCCTCTCATAGCACGCCGAGGGGTCATATCAGGATGTAACGTCCCCTTGAGCCTATAGAAACGGCGATGCCTCTCATAGCAGTCAATATATCTATGAAATAATTCATGTCATCTAAAAAAAAAAAGAGATGCATTACATTTATATTGCTGAAAAGACTAGCAAGAACATTCTGCAAAATGATTATTTGTGTGACCACATTTGGGGTAACTTAATATGCTGTAGATTACAGAAACTGCTCCCAGACCCCTCTAGCAGGGCGATCGGGCACGTTTACAGCGTAGGCGCCACAACTTGCCTTCACCATTTTCCTGCTTGGTACATTTCGAGCCCCCCCCCCCTTTTTTTTTTTTGGAAAATAGAATTGCTTAAAACTTTGCCATTGACTTTTGGAAGAAATGCAAGAAAAGACGAAGAAATTTTCACATAAATGTACAGTTTACGCATTCAGAATTTTCCATAAAGCATTTTAAGGTTCAAAAATTTTCCGAAACCCTTAAGGCGGCTCCGGACCCCACGCCGTAATGGCTTTGCTCTCGCAATTCTGCATATTTCACCCCCCCCCCCCCACCCTTTGCAAAATCCTGGATCCGCCCCTGTTAGACATGATAGAAGAATTGAACATCTAGATGATGAGAGGATATGCTAAAGCTGATTAAAAAAATGATGAACCTTTATTGATTATTTTTTCTCTATTGAAATACAACCTCTGCGAATTTCTAAAGTTTCAATTACTGATGAGAAAGATGTTTCCTTGAGTATGTCATCCCTACTTTTTACCCAAATGTCATTTGATCAATAGAACTATTTAATCAGAAACCAATCTCGTATTTACTAGAAAAAATGAAAATATAGAATAGATAAAAAAGAGGGGTAGAGAGATACAGAAAGAGGGGGAGGGATATGGTGAGACCTGCATTGAAAAGAAGAAAATCGAAGCTCAATTTCAACAGAGACCTTTGGAGGTAAAGATTTTTTTTCACTGATTGACTTTTAAGTAAGAAGTCTTTCTTTGAGGTTTTTTGAGAGACTTATATTTTAAATTCTTTGGAACTCCCGCAGTGCTGTGAGGCATACATTCGACGGAAAACTGTCTTTCTCCTTATTCTTTTTTCTAATTTGATATCTTGCCTGCATCTATACTTCTTCTTCTACTTCTTTTCTGCTACTTGTCAAAGCCTGTTCAGCATCTAGACAATGGTTCTGCTGCCGACGGTGGACGGCTTGTGCGAATTTGTATTTATACATAAGGTACAAGTACAAATGATGTATACACTCCACAGAAGGTAATTTTTTCTCTTATTCTATTTTTTCATTTCATCGGCATCTAAATCGTTCTCTACCCCTATACCCCTTTCATAGCCCTTCTATTGGCGTCACACTGATGAAAATACCGAAGAATTTGCCCTTTAATATGTAAACAAATGTGAAACCGCCGCTTCTCGCATGTGCCGCTGTGGCAAGCCCCGGCCGGAAGTGAAGACTTATTGCGTAACTGCTTTTTAGCTGCTGGCGCGCGCTTTGTATTTGAATTTGGCAGACAGTGTCAGTGCAGTTAGTGATATTATCATAGAGATATATATTAATTTGGATTTTTTTTTTTTAAACTTATTATTAATGTAAAATCAAACGAATCAATTTACGCCAGCGCCCCATCTATTTTAGCAGCATGTTCACGCACATGTGCATGCACATATATCAAGAAAACGTCAACAAAAATAACTAACTGCTCGCCGGGTTCCGAAAAAGCGCGCGTACACGAAACAAGAACGTCCTCTAACTATTTTCATCCATAAATTAGACATCCCTATATTTTCCAGAGTCAGCGTGAATTTTTTTCAACCAAGGTGCCTGATAGATATTCTGCTCAAAGAGTAATTTTAAGATAATGTACACCTCACAAGAAAGTTTATCTTGTCCATAATGTACACTATGTTTTTCATTCTGCTTTCGATATATTTCTCAAGTTTCAGCCTCCCCAATTCACCAAGTACCATACAATTTGCAGTTGTTTTGCTCATAGAAAGGACTTGCTTACAAAGTTTAATGTGGAAAATGCAAGATCATGTAGCACTTCAAATCCCCATATCTCACTTACATAGAGCAGTATAGGCAACACAAGTTGATCAAATAATTCCAAGAGGTTATCAGTAGGTAAGTGCAATTAGTAAGTTTTAGAAAATGTCTATATTGCTCGTCTAGCTTGATTGAGTTGCTTAATTTGTGCTTTACGAAATTTGTCGTTGTAGTTAAAAGTAGTTCCACGATAGACGTACTCATCAACAACTTCTACGATATCGTCATCAAATTTAAATGTAGGGATCTTTCGAACTTTACCACAAGAAAATACAACAACTTTGATTTCAGCTGTGTTGACTTGAAGAAACCATTTTATTATAACAATAATCAGATACCGCATCAAAAGCAAGTTGAAGATCGCTTTCAGTTTGTGCATGAACTGTTGTTTCGTCTGCATACACTAATGTATAAAGCCCGAGATGTACATCTATACCGTTTTGATACGCAGGTACATCAATTTTGTCAGGTAGAACATTTACTCCTCCAGTAATTTATTCCAAAGAGAACTCATGTCAACCAAATAAAATGCATTATTGGAGTCAATAAATGCACAATAAACCCTCTCTGTTGAAGACAGATAAAAATCGATCACTGAATGGAAGAAAAAAAATATGATCAAGCGTTGAATGACCATTTCAAAAACCAGCTATTCGTTTTCTTCGAGTTAAGACGAAAGTCACTCAATGGAAATTGTTGTAAACAGCTTGCTATGAAGTCAACTCAGCAACGTTATTCCTATATAATGTTGTGATCACTAGGATTTCCTTTCTTCTGATAAAGAAGGTGAATTAACTCTATTGTCCATTCCGATGGTACAATTCCACTTTCAAATACAATGTTAAATAACCTAACGATTACTGATAAAACAGAATTTGTGCTACAATTCAAAATTTCGTTTAGAACTAAATCATCGCCATGTGCCTTACCTTTTTTAGCCTATTTATTTGATATATTTTTTTCTTCCCTGCTTATAGAACGATTGATACATGGAGTGTTCGAATAAATTAGTCAGGTTCAAATATGTCTCCATTATCTCTATGAGTTTGGCTCAGACGACGAAAGTGTTCTTCAAGAGAATGAATTTCAATTTTTCTTTAATTAAATACCGTTAGCTGAATTAATAATTAACCATTATGCTCGTCGCTGGTTGCTTTTAAGATTTCTTAAATCACTGTGGATTTTCATATCAAAGTTGTTTTGAACGAATAACTTTTTTTTATACATTTTTTGAAACTTAAGTATATTCCTTTTCAATACTTTCAGATTTGTAAATCTTCCTATTAGATTTTTGTTTTAGATGGAAATACTGAGCCCTGAACTGTCCACAATTGTATCAAACCATGGTTTCCCATTTCGTCCAGATTGACAAGGTTCCTGCTTAAAAAACTACCATTCCGCTTGTTTTGGTCGCTGTAAAGTAAAACATTTTTTAATAAACAAGCTACATTATCTATTGATTCCTGATTAACCTGAATGTCGTGACCCTTCATACGATCAACAACATAATGTATATTTTCGGCTCGATACGATATTATCAATTAAACCTTTAGCAGAATTTATAATCCATTTAATTTTCGTTGTTGATCTCGAATCTTTTTACGTTTTTCATATCTGCTTCCGACATTCAATCATAATAGAATGGGAGATTGTGTTTATCAGACGTAAATGGATCAAAATACATCAACCGCAAAATTACGGAAAACGATGCGGCACAATAATCAAAGGTACTTATTTTAGCACTTGT